TGCCTAGCGGCATGCAACGCAACGCTCCCGTGATCCCTCGCTCGAGCACTCGATCCGATCCGCTAGCGTATACATGGAGAGTCTCGATTCGGATTGACCATCTCAAACCACCCCGGCCCAGCGATGCGATCCGAGCCGTTTACATGGACCGATTCGATTCGTTAACTGGGGCCGATGCGCTGCAGTCGCATCTATGTAGGCGGAGCCATAGTCGGAAGGTAATGCCGCCCAGAGGAAATTTCAGCGATTGAGTTGTTGGGGGACGCGGGATGTTGTTTCCTGACTCCGCATTGTCTGATGCACCTGCAGTGCATCCTGAAGTTGTAGAGACGACAATGAAGAGTTATGTACACCGACGTTTGGGAGGAACGACAAACCTTTCTCACCGGAAAAAGAAACAACGGATTGCCGAGTGCTCAGACTCCGCCCCATTGCAGTGGTAGCGGTTGGGGCAAGATTCCAAACTTTCAACACCTGCCGCTATCTGATTAAGAAGTTATATGTGATTTCCGGAAATTTTCAATGAGAAAATGGCCACCAACAAAGCCCGCAAATACGTGGAGATAAATGGCGTTTGTTATCGGCAACAGGCCCTTGTGAACGAGATAGCGGTAAGTACTGAAACTTTGGCTTCCTGTAGCCTGCTCCCAAAGTCTGAAAAAAATCAGTTCTTGAAAGGCTCTTCCATGCCCCAACAACTTTTTCAGCTCGTGAAGAACGGTTTCGCCTCAAACACTAGTCTCCTAACGACAAACATTTTCGCATTAAAAATAAAAAAATGGCTTAAAAGAACCCCTTTTACTTTTTCCACGAAGAACCGTTTAAGGGGTGCTTAAAAAAACGCTTTAGGGTTCAAAATATGGACAAGCAAAAAAAACCTCTAAGAGTTTATTTAGGTTTTTCTTTAGGGTGCAACCACTAAAACTACATTTTAGTTGGGACTAAAGCGCCGTTCACACACTTGCAACTGAGTAGGACCGAGAGAGAAAGACCGGTTTTTAAGCCTGATGAGACGACGTAGGACCGCATACGCTGCTGCGGAGCAGGTCCTACTTCGTCGCAGGAGGCTTAAAACCGGTCTTGCATTCGGTCCTACTTGGTTGCAAGTGTGTGAACGTCGCTTAAGCGTTCGGCGACACGTTATTTATTTTTGCAGTGTGAACAACAGTGTTCTCTTTTCTCCGAATCAAGTGGTCTTGCCTGTAAATGTCCGGTGTAGCAGGATTCGGGTTGCGGGTTAAGCCGTGGCCGCTAAGGTGGTTTCCGAAGTAAGAATTATCGCAAAGGCGAGCTGTTGTTGTGCTCGTGTCTCCTCTTTCTCTGTCCCGTGTCTCCCGCTTTTTGTTTTTGTTTTATTATTAGGGAGTTAATTTTTGTTTGGTTGGTGGATTGTGCCTTTTTGTTGGTGTGCTTCGTGTAACTGCTCCTTCGTTGGTAGTTACAAGTGTTTTTTTATATATTATTTTGTTGCGCTTAGTTTAGGTGTGTACTTCTGCCAAATTGTGGGCCTGTTTCTGACTTGTTTTGTTGTGTCCGTGCTTTTGTTCCCCGAGCTCCACGCTTACTATGTCTGTCTCAAACCAGCTCGCCTGCACGCTCGCTTTAGTCTAAACATGTCCATATAGTCTTAAAGGGAGGCCTAAGCACTTTTAAAGGAATCTGTGTTAGGTGCGGACTGTTATAGCTTTGTGTTTGTGTACCTATTTATCGTACTCAACTCGGGCAGACGTAAACGTAAACCGCATGTATGGAAAAATACGTGCAGCTGTTGCCGCAGTGTGCGTGGCGAGACTCTCCGCCTGTTTTTGTCCAAAGCGTTGTGACGTCTTTGTCGGCATCAATCAGCTTAAGGCTCTGTTATACTCCGACGTAACGCGCGCGCAAGCGAACGCTGGCCGAAGTCGGCTACGTCACGTCAGTCACGCCGCGCGCATAAAAAATTCGGCTTCTTTATACTCCGGCGTCCCTGGCGGCGCTCGCGGCGCGCGTCGGTGGGCCGCCGGTGCGGCGCATGCGCAGAATCTGACTACGGGGGCACGTTTCCTGCAAGAGTGCGCCACTTCCGGTTCCTTTTCATTTCGAATAGCAGACGAGAATTCTCGCGCCTCTTGAGCGCCAAGTTCGAGCGATGGCGTGGACGTACCTTGCCCGACGAAAACTCGCGCTTGCACTGTTGGTGCACCGCCTGCGCCGCAAGCGTAGGCGGTCAATGTACATACGGTACATCTTTGACAAGCGCCCGGTCTACGGTACTCAGGCTTCCTCGTGTCGTAGACACACGGGTGAGGACGAATTCCCTCGATCAGATTCTCGACGACCGAGTCCGATTCTTCAAACATGACGCCATTCGGAGTGGTGCTCCTGTCGTCTGCTTTGCTCGTATTCGCCGCGCTTTCCGCGCGAGGGCTACTGAGAGCCAGCGCGTGATGCATCCTGGTCCGGCGTCGCTGACGCGGCCGGCGCGGAATACGGCATGCTCCATTTTGGCGCCGAGGCAATCAAGCTGCGTCGAACGCCGCCGGTCGCGTCGGTTACGCCAGGACGCCGGAGTATAGAGCGTCGGGTTTTCGCCGACGTAGCGTCGCTGTGACGCGCTCGCACGCGCGCACGCTTTACGTCGGAGTATAACAGAGCCTTTAGTGGCAAACAAGGCTGATTCAAACCCACCGGTGACGTCACTTTTGCTAGTTCTTTTTTCTCTCGCGCTCCTGCGCTCGGCGTGTCACAAGGGGCGGGGCTACGTCGAAATTCTAATTGGCGATTACGACGCTCCTTTTATTAAGATAGAAAAATAACTTAATACACATAATTTGGAAGTTTTTATACATTAAAGTTATTATTGTCTTTTTTTTTTCTCCAAAATCAAGGACCTCTTCAGCTTTCTTTTAACAAATTTTCAGTCCTTCGCTGGGGCTTGCCAGATGCCATTCGTCAAATTCAATCGTCTACTCCCAGAAATTAATTTACTGTCTTAAAACACAAGTCGGTGTCTTTAATATGGCATTCGCTCGTTCCGTGAGAGGCAAATTCTCGCTCTCGCGGTGACCAAAGTGAGACCCTTTTGAGTCCATTTCCAGGCAGCTTCTAGAACTCTCAAGCTTCCGACGTAAAGCATGCAGAGCGACAAGAGAGAAATAAAGGAAATATCTATTCTGAATGACCACCCTGTCCGGTGCTCGAAGAGTAGATCTACCACTCTACCCCAAGCGCGTTGTGAACGTGCTGGATCACGGCCGGTTTGCTGCTAGTATGCGGCTATCTGCCCCCGTGGGTAAAGTAGCCACCACAGTGGTATTTTGAACTGAATATAGGGGCGCGAACGAGCTTGAGAATATTTAGCGTGATGAAAAGCTTGAGACTGGGAGTAAAAACTACACACGGATGCATACTAAACGTACACGGCTTTTGAGAACTTTTGAGTCTATGTGCAGTTTTTACCCGCTGTCTCGGGGTTTTCTTCATGCTAAAGATTCTGAAGTGACGTGAGAGGCTTTATGGGGACAGGAAGCCAAATGTACCTAACGTTGCAGGCAAATGGCTACCATAACTCCGTACTCCGTTCGATCATTCGAGTCCGGTTTTGCGCGCAGAAAGTGGATGAAGAGGCTTGAAATGGAAGTGAAATGCATCGCATTTGTGTATTTTAAGAGCGGTATGTCAAGGGTTTGCTGGGCAAGGTCGTATTAAGCGAAAATCGAGACATACGGAAGGCAATGCTTACGTCCGCCGAGCGGAATCTGCTGGAACCTTACGTATACTTTCTATCCTCGGATTCGGTCAAGCGGCCTCAAATTTTCTTGTGCGGCTATTTTAACCACAGGGAGAGATTGCTGCAGTCACCATCGGACCGGACCAGTTTCAGTAGATCGGGTGGGAGGTCTTTTGTAGGACCAAGTCCGTTGTCCCAGGAGGTAGGGGGCGGGGGAAGGGTTAAGGTGTAAATTGGCACTTATGATTGGTCCAGCGTGCGGACATTTGCACATCGTATGTTTTTTTAAAAGGGTATTGTCTGTAGGGGAGGGGGAGGGGGTGCGGGGGGAGGGAGCAAGAGGTGCCAGAGGTACGAGAATGAGACGCTCGCAATCATGCCACAAAAATGAGGTATAATCCAAACAAGCACCGCCACGACAACTATTTGTTGCTTATTGAAGTATATTTAATCTAAACTTCGAGAGAATTGTTACTGTAGTTTAAATATCCTGCGAAGAGTAGAGTGCAGAGCTTTGGCTCAATAGAGGTGCGTCCAAAGTAGTGAATATGTTTTCACGCAGCACTTTTTAAGATTATGGAAGCACTCAGGGGGGCTCTTTTTCTTTACAAGCAATATAGCGGGGAGAAAAGAAAAAAGGCTCGAGGTACACATAAGTACTTCTTATGAGTTGTGAATGCGAAAGCATGTACGTCATTCTTCCACTCGCTTATTTCGTCTGCAGCGTATTTGCGTCGACGGCATAGCGGCGCGCTCTGCCGGTCCTCGCCGCTCTGGCCTTGGTCGTTTCGCGTTAGCGGCGCGCTGACGGAGACTCAGCGCCGTGGGGTGGCCGTCGTTGAAACTGACGCGCAGCGGCCAATGGGAACCTCGTTGACGTGCGCCAGCCAGTGGGACCGAAACTGGAAATTCATTAGCTTCCGCTCCTTTGGGGTCGGGGAATTTAGGTGCCGTTGGCTAGCTTTTCGCGTAGTTTCATAGCCGGGAGCTGGCTTCCCTTGGAGAAAGGATTTAAGGTGCCGTTTGGCGTGGTTTCAAAGCTGATAACGTCGGCTCGCTCCACGAGGCAGTAAATGCTTTCGCATTAAAAAAGAACTGATGCGGGTTATGTAAATTTATAATGTCGATGATTTATTTTTACACCATTTAGTGGAAGTAAGAAAATTGTTTTACTGCACCTTTAACTTTCTTTAAAGTTAAGTGTCTTCAAGGTGGCATTGATCGTATGGGCCTTATGGCTTTTTCTGTAGCGTAGTGCTTTATTAATTGACTTTGGTCTGGTTGTTTTCAGAGGCCATGGTGGCCGTTCCTGCCTTCCTGGCCCAGGTGGGCATCAGGACGCACCTGTCGAAGCTGCTGGATCAGGATGAAGTCGGTGAGCGTTAGAACGAGAGGATTTGGTTAGAAAAATATAATTGGCTGCGCCCATCATCTTCAAAGTTCGGTCATGCAACGAAGGCGATATATCTGATCACACCCTCCTTTTGAATGTTATCTTGTCCTCATCGGCGTTTCCACAAGGAAGAGAAGTAGGACTGTTGCTGGGTTACAGGGAGATGTTTGTTTTAAAGAAATCTGGTTCTTACTAAGAAAATGAAGATTAAAAAGAATTGAAGATTAAAGTGCCAAATAAGGAAAAGACCATGCCTGAGAGGTCTGGCCTTTATAGGGTCCCTCAGTGTTTTTGATCCTAGGGTAGTTCCCGTTTTTTTTTTGTAAAATTTTATGGTGCTATCACGTGATCACTTATAAATACAGACATAGCTGGCGACGAAACGGCGGCGAAGTACCAGTCCAAACGGAGACCTCTGTCACGTGATCCAAAACAAAGAACAAGAGGCGTCTTGTGAAAAAAAAAGGCGCCATTAGGCCACGCGTACAGGGCGGGCCTAGCCTTGGGCACCACCCTTCTATCACATCTGCAAGCCGCTGGTGAGTCCGCCTCCGTGAGTAGGTGGTTTTTGTTTTTTGTACATCTAGAGCTCAAGGCAGTGGTTTGGAACGAAAGGTAGTTTCTGCCAGACATTCACAGGTTACCGAAACAGAGTAACTAAATACCGCTACTCGTTAATCACTCAAAAATAACTAAGTACTCTACTCGGCAATGCGTTTCGAAAGAAACGCGTTACCGCATGCAGCTTGTAGATTAACGCACTTTCTCGTGACTGTCAGCGTGTCATTTTTAAGAAGCAGTAGCCTCTTCCAATATTTGTCTTCGTTAATAATTCGTCCACTTTTAACACGCTCATTCAGAGATAACTCTGGCTATACGGACACACAATGTGCACACCTTTTTATTAGAGAGTTTTAGTAGATCGTTTTGGCTCTCCCGCTACGCTATACGCTAGAGCGACGACGCTACTGCGCATGCGCGCTGCTAGCGGAAACATTGCGGAGCTGCGGAGGCTAGCGGAGGCGCGCTAGCGGGCCAAAATAGCGAGGGGCGTAGCGCGGCGTGCTAGCGTGGCTCTCGCGAGAACGAGTCTTGGCGAGATAAGGGAGACCCAGCGAGGGACGCTGTTCAAGATGGCCGCCACGCCGCGTCTACTCGGTCTGTGCTTTTCGCAATCGTCGTTCTAAGGGGTGGATTGCTGCTGCGAGAAGTACCCGCGACAAAGCCGTTCCACGACTGCAACAGGTAGCGATTCATGGCGGATATACTAAACGCGGCCACGGAAAGGAGAAAAAAAAGAAAAAAGAAAAAGCTTCGCAGTTTTTGGTGCTGTGAGCGAAAGGTGCAGCCCCCTGCTCGGCCGCTTTGTCGTGAAGGCAAAACCGACTAAGGAAGCGGAGCGGGCAGGCGGATATGAGGGATTTCTGTGGCGCTTCATTTTCGGTGAACAACGACGCAACAGATGAGCTACAGTGGTTGTCCTTTATTTTTGAAGATTTTTCTCGGTGGCTTTGGCACTTGACTCATATCGGATTGGCTTGGACAGCTTGGCTGACAGTTGTATTCAATTATAAACATAATAGTCACCTACTTACAAAAGAAGCAATGATTAGGACGTTATTCAATAAAAAAAAACAATATTTTATTAAGATAACGACGTTAATAAAAACAATTGCGAAGGATTGCTTTACAAATCTGTTTTACGCGAGCCCTAGTGTCCGAAAGAGCCGCTAGTGGCGTTGCGTTAGCTCTCGTAACGTTGTAATCCGTAGCGGGTTGCGAACGTTCTACTAAAACTTAAAATGGTAGTTCCGCTACGCTACATATAGCGGAGGTCATAGCGGCTAGCGGATAGCACAGCGGGAGTGAGTGAACGATCTACTAAAACACTCTATTGTCTATATAGCGTATTCTGGTCGCGCAATTTACAGGCACAAACTAAGGCGACAACTAGGTTGGGTTTTTGTGCTGTGCACGTTCCCCTCTATAGAACTATCAGTAACTAAATACAGTTACTTCATAAAAAAGTAACGAAAATGCATTACCCGTTCTTTTAAAAAGTAGCTATATCATTACGTTTTACAAACAAAAAAAATGTTACTGGGTACAAGTGACGCCTTACCGAGAAGTCTAGTTCCTCTTTCACTGGGGTCGGATTTTGGTCATCGTGAAAGCGAGATCTAATTTGCCAGTCGCGGAGCGAGTGAAGATAGCATCTGTAGATTGTTCGTCTGCTAACACCAGCGAGGGACGCGGTTCGCCTGCTACGAAGCGCTATTTGTCGACGGAAATAAAACAAGAATACACCTTTTGTCATCTGCTAACAGACTGGAAAAAAGTATATCGTCTGCCGCGAACCACTATTCGTAGACGGAAATAAAACAAGAATACACCATCCGTCATCTGCTAACGGACTGGAAAAAAGTCGATCGCCTGCTACAAACCGCTATTCTTAGATGGGAATAAAACAGGAAAACAGCATCCGTCATCCGTCATAACAAGATCTCGGTATTCAAGAAATGTCCTTATAAAAACAAAAAGTCACCACCGGGATGTTGAATTGCCTCGCCAAGAATGGAGAGATAAGGGTGAAGCTGCTTATTCCATGGACCAAAATGTCGACCATATGAGGAGCTTGGCGCGACATTTCCAGGGTCCAGTGACTTTAGGTGGCACCACCGGCGGCCATTTCTTGACACCAGCAGATGCATTGAACCCTATGGGAAAACGCGTGAAAAAACATCTCATTTGCATCATATTTTGTCTTACTACTCCTGCGAAATCTCATACAAGTTTATTTACAAGACAACTTCAAGAAGTTCATTTTTGGTTATTCTTCCCTCAGACTTGCATGTATCCTGGTCTTGAGCAATGTCCGCCGGAGGTCCCACAGTCGGGATTCCGACCCATAATCCAACCTTCTTCACCCTCCATGATCCATGATCCAACCTTCTACAGACGGAACGCTGAAGAAGAGAGGGGAAAACCTCTCTTTAGCGTTCCGTTTGCTTCCTCCCCGGCCCGTCTTACCCTCGTCCTACCTTCTTGAGTTGCAACGGACTATAGATGTCAGTGGTGGACACCTTAAGAGCTCAGTATGTCCAAGCGCACTTGCGTCCATAGCTTTGAGTGCATAGCCATAGAAAGTTGTCAGCGAGTATTGGGGATTTTCACTGCGGGTTTCTGAACCTAGTTTCACGGCTTCGTCGTCTTCAGACAGCCTGGCGCTGTGAATATTTGATTCGCTGGAGGAGGCTGGCGAGCACAACTACCCATGATGTCTGAGAATCTTTGGCGCGCAAACTCTCATTTCATTTGCCGGAAAAGACGAACACAGCAAAAAAAGAAAAAAAAAAAAAAAGGAAAAGAATGGCTGGAAATTGTTTTTGCCGCGCGGCGGGGCTAGGTACAATGCCGGAAATCATCATCCAGCTTGCTTGGCTAGCGGTCCGGATAAAAATGCGCTCGTTTGCCCGAACTGGGGGGCTAAGCTCGGCGCGGCGAAATCGAGGCGAGTTCTCCGCCAAACTCGCCGACCGCCGCGATTGGTCGGCGCCGCGCATGACGACACGCGCCGACACTCCCTAGATCGTGACGTTAATCGGAGGGTTTGAGGCGGTCGGAGAGTTGCATATTCGGAACTCGCGGCGAGATGCGGTGACGTCACTGTGACGTGGCAGAAGCCGCCGCGGATGGGAAAAGCTTGCCGGCTCCGACCTAGGCGAGTTTGGGCGAGTTGGGCGCGAGATCAGGGAGAAGCGTCCAAAATGGCAGCGTTTTCGTTCGTGTTTTGCCGTCGGCATAGGTATTTAAACCACGCCAATGTGTTTGACATAGACAACGTTCATTTCCGACAACACTATCGCCTCTCGAAAGACGTGGTAAGGTGGCTGTGGGATGAACTGCGTGGCGAACCGGGCTTGAGGCGATGGAGCCGTGAATGAACCGTCGCCCCCGTCGTGAATCCTACATCCAAATTCTACAAAGTGAATCCTAGAAACAAGTGTGTTTTGACGGCAATCTGCAACCAGGAATGCAATTTACCATTACCTACAGGCTTTTACAATTATTTTGATGGGTTGCTGTGCTGCGTAGATGCAAGATAAACGCACTTGATAAAATTCAAACTAAAAGAGATGATAGAAGAAAATCAATATAGATGAATGGCGCAGACAAACAACTGTGTAATTTCTTTCTCATCTTTCTTCTTCCACACCGTATTTTGACAAACAAATTGGCCATTAGTTGTTTATACAGCAGGAGAACATGCCAGAACATTGCGACATTGTCACCTACTGTAGATAAGCAATTTAGCCAGTGCAGTATGACTGCTAGCCTAGGGTCTTTAACGTGCACCACGTAGTAGTGATACACGACCGCATGCCAGTACGATGCTCATCAACATCGAAAAGGGCAGGGGTGGGGGTGAATCCACGATCCTGGGTTCTGCAGCGCGAGCTTCCGCTCCACGTGCACCCTATTCTGAAAAAAAAAAAAATATCTATATATTGTGGCTGTGTGGCGGTGTGGGGGGAGAAAGATGAGAAAGAAATTACACAGTTGTTAGTCTGCTCCATTCCTGTATGTTGTTTTTCGTCTATACTCTGCTTTAGTTTATATCTTTATAAAGAGCGTTTTTCTTGCATCTACCTGGCGCAGCAAACCATCACAATGTCTAGTCAACTAGCCCACATCCAAGCAACGTTTGTATAATTATCATCCCTGCTGTTACCTATTCGTATTTGTCATTTATGATTTAAATAAAAAAAATTGGGTTGTATGTATGTTGATACCGCCTAAAACTTGGTCTGCTTCAACGGGGAAGATTCTCCCAGCTGTAAATGAGAAATTTAGCCATGAAGTGCCGTACAACCGCTAGCCTGGGGTCTTTAACGTCCATCCCGCAGTAGTGTTACACGACTGCACGCCGGTAAGATGCTCATCAACATCGAAACGGGCAGGGGTGGGGACTGAACCCAGCATCCTGGGTTCTGCAACGGACCTTTCACTCGACGTGCTCCGAGCTGGTGTGCGCTAGCCCAGCCGGCCACCGATCCCCCGATTTAAATAAAATAAAAACCCTTCACTGCGGAGCGTAGGGAAAAATCGGAGCTACGCTGGGGAACTCGCCGCCGCCGGGGGGGTCGGAAATGTAAGAGGGGGAGTGGAAACTCGCCGGGGCGGAGTCAAAAGAAGCTCCTCCCCTCCCTAGTGACGTGGCATCGGAGAGATTCCCGCTGGAGGCGAGCTTAGCACCCCTGTACTCGTTGCTTCTCGCCACAACGCGCGTTATTTTTTTCAAGGAAGCAAACGTTTTAAATCCGAGAGTTGCTCCGTTAAAACCGGAAATAGATGAAATAAACGCACGCCTGCCGAACTGCGCCTCCAGCCATTTTGGTAAAAAAAATAGTGACCAATCATTAACGAATCTCAATAAAGTTTTTGACCCCAAAATATCATTTTCTTTACAAGACTGAGCTGGCGAAACGTCATGCTCATTATTCAATCGCAGATCGCGTTACTGAGTAGAAGGTAAGATAGGTTTTGGGTTCTTTGCTGTCGTCGTTCGATTGAGACTTCAAATTACATTGTTTCTTTCGTGATATATTTGTTCGTTTAATTTTACACATCGTTGTTTTTCTACCTTTTTTCGCGTTTCTCTTCGCACGCAAGTCTCGCCACGCCTTTCCTGTCGGCAGGGCATGACTGCTTTGGCCTTTTTGCCGCCGTGAGATTTTGTGCAACAATCTCTCACACTGTTTAGCTATGATCAGAGCCGGCTTGCCAAAAGCCGCGTCTTAAGAAAGTCTGGGCGAAAGAAAGCACTGCTGGAGACAGCGCACGACGAGCTGAGCAGCTCTTGAATCAAGATTAACTCGAATTGCGGCTCAACACGTTCGCGCGCGCCTCAACCTGAGCAGTGTTAACGAAAATCCGAGCACTTACCGCGTGCAGATTTTTAACATTTGAGATGATGATGCCGGCTTTGTATCAGCACCGCCTTGCGGAGATTGAGAGAGGCTCCGCTGTATGCACCTTATGCTGGGCAAACGAGCGTTTGGAAAGGGGCCGGGGGGCCGGGGGGCGGGGGGAGCGGGGGGCGGGGAGCTTTGCGCGCCAAGAATCTCGGAGGCTATGACATACCGCCGCAGCTATTTGTTCCACCCGCTAGGTGCCGCCGATTTCGCTGGGATCGCCAATTGCGAAGCGAGATTCTGTCTGTCTGTTGTGCTCCGCGACAGGCAAGGTGTTCTCGTTCCTGGCCACCTGCGACGCCGTCCTGCCCATCGCCGGCGAACTGATGTACACGGCCATCTTCAACTGGTCCATCAGCTTCCTCCCGGGTATGCCGTACCTGTTCACAGCCTGCATAACCCTCATCTCCGTCGGCTTGCTCTCGTAAGTCCGCCTCTTTCTACGTCCATATCTGAAGAAGCATTTAAGCACGTATAGTAGAGCTTCGAAGTAACGACCTCCAGCCACATTGGGTTTGAAAATCGTGGTTTCTGGGTGATCTAATGTCTCTGTTCTCTAGAAATGTAAGACATTCCAGGACAGAGCGAAACGGCAGCGCCTGAGCTCCTTAGCATTGTGTCTAATTGCCAGGAAGTCACGCTTTCAGGTGGTAACCATCGCCGGCCGCGCACCTCCTGCACTAGGCACAAAGATGGCGGCGCCTACGAGAAAATCGGAGGATAGACTGCAGACGCCATTGAGCCGCACCCACACTGCGCATACTTCGCACAAAAGACACGGTGTTTGTTGATGGAAGATTCATCTGCGCACATGCCCTAAGCATGGTCGAAGCATGCATGTTTGGTTGATAGATTTGCAGGCTTTGAACATGCTTGCAAAGAGTTATTGTACGACTAATGTTACAGGTCTGTCATACGAGGCGAAAATACCCCTTAAACTATCTGCACACTGGGTCTTGTATGATGCATTGGCAGTGTGACCGCGGCTTAAAGGGACACTCAAGTGGATTCTAAAATCGTCTACCGTCATAACTCAATCTATGGGCTCTAAGCATCTTAAAAAAAACCCGAAATTACAATGTAAAGCGGCCGATTTCCCCATTAAAAATTCAATGAAAGATCGTGCCACGCCCCCCATTTTGCGCCGTGGCTCAGAACACCAGAGGGTGCCGCCAGACTGGGAGGCAGAAGGGGAGGGCACGCGGCAGCCAATCGCGGGTGACGGTTTCCGGAAGGCTGAATGTTCGAATATGCGCGCCTTCCAAAAGCAGTTCGCCGGGAAGCCGTCATTCGTGATTGGCTGTCGCGTGCCCTCCGCTTCTTCCTTCCCGTCCGGTGGCGCCCCCTGGTGTTCTGCGCCACAGCGCAGAAAGAAGGGTGCGGCACGATCTTTGATTAGACTTTCAATAGGGAAATCCACCGCTCTTGAGTGTGGTTTGGGTTCTTTAGGATGCTCAAAGCTAATTAGCCCAAGTCCCCGTCCTCGTGCGTTCTACAGCCTCGATGTCCTCACGTGATACTTTGTAAGTCACCGATCGGATGAGACTGGCAGCTGGGCGTCTGAATCGGATGGCCGACCTCCACCACGGGCTCGTCTCCTTCTGACGTGGTTTGACCTCGCGCGCACACCTCAAGCTCCCGAGAAGAGAGAGTGGTACCGAAGCTAGGAAGCTCGCGCTAAAGGTGGGGACAACTGAAAGACTTCCCTGCCGTTGTCACCCTGGACGCTAAACCATTGTTGCGGTTCGAATATTTCAGAAGCGTTCGGTACCTACCATTGGTGTTGCGAAGGGCGATAAACCGCTCTCACAACGTTGTGCAGAAGACAGTCGGCAGACAAAAGCGTGTTTCTTCCTTGTATGGCGATCCTGTTTTATTGGTCATAAAAACTACCTTTAGACATCATCGAAGCACAGGGCATAAATATGCTTTGAACATGCTTAAGGCCTGTTCGCATATGCCATCCTGTCTGCAGGTAACGCCGTGTCTTCCTCAAAGGGGTACTCCACCGATTTCTTCATGGTTCCCGGTTTGCTTGAAATTTAGCTAAACTCGCCAAACAACATCGCCAAAATAGTATCCCAAATATTAGGTCAAAATTTTTTTTTACGAAGTTGATGAATTTACAATTTTGATCCTCACCGTGTTTTTCAAACTGAAAGTATCTACTGGCAACAATGAAAAAGTGACTTCATTGGGAGTGCAGGGGTTCACTCTTTAGACTGTAGAATTTGTTCCCTACTGATTCGAAGCAGTTTCATGGTGTCAAATGAATGCTTTGGAAGCTCGCTCCAGTCCCTGCGCTCCAGCACGGAACAAATGATTGGCATATTCTATTTTTTAGACTGCTCGCCCGACTGGCAAGCTTGCCTTCCACTGACGTCACGGCCCTGAAAAGGGCGGGTATATTTGAATGTTTGTTTTTGCATCATTTTCATTTGCCGATTTCGCAATAACTATTATGAATTTCACGATACTAAATAGCATACCAGAAAGGGCAAAGGCCGAGGAGTCAAAAAATATAGTTAGTTGAGGTAGCTCAAAAATCGGCGGAGTACCCTTTTAAGTTTAAGGTGTATGAGTGGTGTCACTGAGACCAGACAGTTCTAGCGATGAATGAAAATAACAGGCCATGGTGACAGGTCACGTCGTTGCATCACGGTGGCAAGCTCATCCTTATACGATTTAATGTGAAATATTTAATCGTGTTAGGGAGGAAGAGAGACAGACAGTGCAGAACATACGCAACACAGCTGGATGTTATTCCTGTTTACCAAACAGGAGTCGACAATCAAATAACGAAAAAATGCTGAAAAGACGATGAAAAAACAAACAGAAACGCTACACGCACCAAAGACAATTATAAGGCGAGAGGTGGATCAAAAAGTGGTTGATATTTTTTTTTAAATGGTACTTTGCGATTTAGTGCGTTTTAATATCTTTGAACCTTCAGCTTTTACTTTAAGAAAATTTGGCCCTCATTAATCGCGAATTAATTCAACCCACATTTGAATTACTCCTAGCGACCCCGCAAGGCGTACATTTTAGTCATTTTTTGTATGCGCGCTCCTTCCAAATCTGGTTTCGCCCACCATTGTATTTCTTGTAAGGTGTAGGCCTAGCCATCTTCAACTCATCGCATTGTTCGGTACCTTCATTTTCTTGAGTAAAATAACATTGTTTTCCCGTGGCGAAAAACTGTTTGTTACCAAACAACATTAAAATGCGTTTTTCTCATTTTGTAAATTTGGGCCATTTTCAGAGTTTCTGTACAGACATGTTCTGCCTAATTTTGTCCTACACACAACGAAATTCTGCACGCATAGGCTTAAGGAACTGTAGAATGTAACTATCTAGATTTTGTTACGATGTATGTGTTGGCAGTTATGCGAATGTAAAGACATATTTGTCAGCCCTTTGCAAATAGCTTTGTTTTGTGATTTCCAAATGTATTACACAAAGAAAGTCTCGCACACGTTATTACTGTCATTCATTGCACCCAGTGGTTCACAAGAAGCGATGCAGCTTATTTTTCTGTGCTCTTTTCGATACTCCCTCATCTAATCCTCCTCTTCTTCCTTCTTTCCTCCTCTCCAATCCTTCTCTCTCTCCACCTTTCCTCCTTGAGCGTAGTGCGACGCCACTTGGATCTGTGCCAGATTTCTTGCCACGCCCCACGACTGCACGACCACATGTTTTTTTTTGTTTGCATGTGCATTGCACCCAGAACAAGAAAAGCAATCTATGTCGGAACTAACACCAGATTAAAAAAATATATATTATCAAGCATAATGAACTTTAAGAGTTTCATACGGCAATAATTTATTTATTTATTACCTACATCGCCCCGAAGGGCATTACAGTAGGGGGAGTCACAATACCAAAAATTGCATTTCTTAATAGACCATAGGTTATCAAGACACATAAGCACGCAAAGTAATATACAAAACTAGTACATGCATATAAACATACATAGAAAAAAAACCTTAATCCGCATAGAAAAACAATGCACACCAATGCGTTAATAATATATTTACACTCAAATACATTGATCAGAGAGACTGCTGGAGTTGCAAAAAAAAACAAAAACAAAAAAACAAAACAAAAAAACGAATCTGGACTTTGCAAGGCAACAATCTCGCTTGGCAAGCCGTTCCATTCTTTTATCGTTCGTGGGAAGAAAGAGTTAGGAAACAAATCCGACCTTGACGTGTACTCCCGAACTCTTTGGTCATGATCTATTCTGCGCGACACATAAAATGGCCGAAACAGGTAACGCTATCCTTCAATTTTAGATAAACCGTAAAAAATACTGGGAAGCCTTTTAAGCGCAAATACTTACGCCTAACTGCAAGTGATTTGCATTGTAAATATTTTTTTATTGCGGAGACACTGCTACGAAAGTTTTAATTATTTGTCACAAATCTAGCGGCACGGTTTTGAATTCTTTCAATTTTATCAATAAGTGTAAATAAGTGTAAAGTTGGGAATGCTCGGACGTAGTATTACTAAATAAAGCTTTGGAAAGGTTCAATATTTCTAATAAATGCATTCGATGGAATACTTGTACAGCTGTATGTAAACGGGTTGATGTGTGTAATTAGCTTTAGGTCGACGATAATAGTTTTTGCTTCCAATGTATTTGTATCGAGGTTCCTGTTTTGCGTTGGCGATATTTAGTCAGCCCTCTGCATTCTGGAAACATAAGTTGTGGTAACTCGAAATCAATTAGGTTTCTGAAGCATTAATATTCGTGCTTCGTGTTTTGCACCAAACAGATATGTTACCAGGATTGATCTACAGCAGAGGTAAGCCATCAGAGATAGTTCCACAGTAATAAATACCGTTACAGCCTGTAAAAAACGCTTACTTAAGTATTTAAGTATGAAAAAAGGGACCTTGCAAGAATGCTGATCAAACTATAGAGTTGGAAAAATAAAAATTGTTAATTTCTACAGATTGCTGAGGGTTAGTAAGAAATGACGATATGTCTGTCTTTCATCCTAGAATCAACGCTGGAAGAAAGCAAGAGCTTGGCTTTGCTATTTCCAGTTTTGTGACCCGTTTGCAACGCATGGTTCCTTCAGCTATTTGAGGGCTACCGTAGTGTAGCGGCTCTTTTTTTCATCGAGTGATTAATCAGACCAATGACGGCAATGACACTGGTTATGTGTAACAGACACGGCAAGCGTGAAGTTGGTTTCGGCTTCTACCGATTCTCACGAGGCATTCTAAATGTGAAAACTCCAGGATTCGAAACAATAACGCAGGTTGTGCGCTTCTTCATGCGTGGCACCACGAATGCACTTCTGGTGCATTCGGTTTGATACCTCGTTTCTGGTCGCGTTCGGCTCTATAGATTTTATCATAATGGGCATAATGGACCATGGATGGATGGATGGATGCGGCTGAACCGTTTGAATCGGGCGGCGACTTGCGCCACCTAGCCAGCGTTTTCGAGTAACGAGCGCCGTCTGGAGGTTTGTCCGCGAACTTCAGATGAAATGCACCCCAACATGCCTCCGCCAGTCGGAACACGTTGACACCATGCCGCTGTATCGGTTCTAATCGCTGATAAAAGAAATAAAAATAAAAAGAAGGAATACGCGCGAAGATTGGTCCTGACAATCTTGGTCGATTATGGCCGCACCGGCACAAAAGGGTCAGGGAGGGGGTGTAGTACGTATGCGCAGAAGTTTATAGGAAAAAGGGCCATTGCATATTTTTTTTTAAATTTCGTCTGTAACAGGAACGCAGGAAGGCTAACAGCTTATTTCGCTCCTCCTTTGCTTTATTAAATATTAGCTTTATTTTCATAAGATCAACGAGGACCATCTCGCTTCTTTAAAAACAGAAAAAGAACAACAACAATACTGACATCACTAGCATCGGTGTTTTTTTTCGTGGGCTGAAGCGCTTGAGGGATGCGTGATATTAACGTGAATTTATTTCAAGTTCAATTACAGCTCACAGAAAAGTATTTAAAAACAGAATACAAGTTCAACAAGGGTATTTATTAAACTTCAAATCATTGGATTATATGTATATCGTACCAAGTCACCAGGCTCGATCTAAAGTGACCTGCACGTAGCAACGTAAACTTTTCGTCAAAGGCGTATTTCACAGGTCGGTTTTTTCTTGCAAAATTAGAAAGCGTAAATCTCTTACTGTAAAACATAGGGCCGAGAGACTTGCCAGGGTCAATGGCGGGCGGCAACGCAGACGACCAAGTCGAGCTGCGGGGCGCGTTTGGCGCACACATTGATAAATGGCGTCGGTAGCAGCAGCTGAACAGTGAAATACAGCAGACAATACGCAGACAAAATCCGTTGGCAGCAAAAGCGCTGTTGTTACGCAGACGGGTTTTTTTACTTTCATTTTGCTTTTATTGTCCGCCTTTATTCTTTAACGAAAAATACGCTGCAAAAAGATCATGTTAATTTTAATAAACCCCGGTGGTCGCGAGCCGTCACGTTAAGGAGGTAGCGCCATCTATCAATACGAGCGCCAAGCGCGCCTCGCCACTCGACTTGGTCGTCGTCGCCGCCCGCCCTTGACCCCGGCAAGTTTCTTGGTCCTATTTTTTTACGGAAAGAGAGCTACGCTTTCTATTTTTACAAGAAAAATTTGACCTGTGATATACACCTTTGACGGAAAGTATCGATTTCTACGTGCAGGCGTCAATTTTTACAGTCCATTTTAGATCGAGCCTGGTGACTTGGGACACCCTATATATATTAAGGATCAAATGCTTGAAAATAATGCTGCAGCTCTAAACATGAGGTCAGTCAGGTCGATTACTGTGTCGTCAGGTCGACAGAGTCATCTCTGATTTGAGATCTGAATTTGAATTTCTCGAAATAGAAATGACTCTGCCGACCTGAGTGTATTTTCTCTTATTACCTCTTCTCTTTTCTCTCTTCTTAGTTACTTTCCCTGTTCCTCGATTTTCCCGCTTTTATCGGTTGCTCACTTTTGGAATTCCTTCATGTCCGTTGGTGGTTGAAGGATGCGGTTGTGTTGTTTTCGTCCTACACGTTTGTTCTTTTTTAATCTATATATTTGCTTCTGATTAAATATGTTGTAAAATATTGTTGTTTTTGTGCAGTGTCTTTGCTCAATGTGTGCAGTGTACTGTATGCCTTCGTGATCTTGAATACTATAATTTTCTTGGGAGGTGTGATCCCGTCAAGCTGATTTTCAGCTTTCTTCCCCAAACCTCCCAGATCGCTTCGATGGGAAATAACGGTGTTGTGTTGTGTTCGTCCCCTTCTCTGTTCCTGAGTCTCGGGTTTTATTACCATGAATCATCAGCAGCTCGCTTGTGTTTTAAGTATTATTGCAGTATTATTACTCTTCCTTTTTTTCTTCGATGTTTATTATGCGCAAAGCGCAGAAAGCTTTATGATCTTTAAATATGACTCATCGCGAAGTGCTCAAAATATCGCATTTGATTTGCATAGAAGAGTGCCCTAAATTGTATTCCGGCAGTATTTAACATACCCGCATTTGAAATATTTCATTCTCGATATTTAAATGCACTCGACAAATACATTTCCGAATATATGTAGGTAAAAACTTAAAAAAAATACTCAAAGTATTTTAAATGCATGTCTTTGAAATAATCCGTTTTCCCTATTTAAATACAGCTGACAAGTACCTTGCCCAAAATGCAACTAAATACGAAATTCAAAATACTCAAGGTATTTTATATACGTATTTCCAATACTGACCATCCCTGATGAAAGGGATAGAGAAAACGTTGAGCTACACTTCAAGGAGTGCACCATTTTGCTATCAGTGTTATTGATCCGAGAGAAAGTTAAAAGTCTGGCTTTTTTAAATATGTTTTTTTTTTGCAAGCACGTCTTTTCTAATTTCAAAGCTTTCAGGTCGACCCCTACGGAGATAATATTATGTCATATGCAAGATTAAAAAAATAAGGATGCTAGGCTCGTCAGTGACCCTTCAAATATGATCTAAAAAAATGCGTCTAAATTTTATATATTCAAGAAGGTTGCGTACGAAGCTCTCCGAAAGCAGTCATTGGTAACCTTTTGTTTAACACTCAGATATTGTCTGATTTTATCTAGACGGTACCAGTGACCAGGTCGTAGTGAGAATTATCGTTTTTTCCGGACAGTAGTCCACGGACTATACATGTTTTAAAGGCGGAAATTTTACGGGGAGTATCGAGAGGTCTGGACGATGCGGACATTTTGTTATTCAAGATCGTTCATAATGACGAGGTGAGTTTTGTGGAAGAAAGATGATGGTTAATGATGATTTATGTATGATACAAGCTTCTTTCTGAGCTAAGAAAACAGACATTTGTCAAGGTGTGGTGCGATAGAACCATAGACTTATTACAATAAACGCTAGAGGCTCAGCTGGCGCTAGTGTCTACGGGACTTCCGGTTGCAAATTGAAGCAGACAGCATGCAGTCTACTTTTCCTGTCTTCCTGTGTATTCCTATGGGAAAACGCGCGTGAATTTTGTCTCGTCGCCGGAAAATAACATGAATAACGCTTGTTATTTCGGTTGTACCGGATAGTATGCATCTTTATTACTATTGTGAAAGTGTAATTGCTTTAGTTACAGCATTTTCTTTTACCACTAAACGATGTTAAACTTCGATATATTTCAGGCCCAAACCTCTGTTCCATGGCAGGTATGTAGAAACGACCGACGATTCTAAGCAAGATAACGATTGAAAGGAATGTAGAGTGTGTTAAAAATCCGCCAGAGTTCCGTTGGTGCTTATATATTGCTAATATGCCTGTCCTCTCACTATAAGAAAACGACCCCGTCGTGCATCTTTACGAGTGGCTAAAAAAACGTTCAAAACGTAAAGAATAAAGTACGTGGGCTACGAAAGATGTGTTTTTTTTATTATTTCCTATGTCGGGCCGTTTTTATCACGCACCTGTTCTCTGGCTTCCCGCTATTTGCAAAGATTTGGAGCGCGCGGGTGATGATTTGAGCACAGCACAAACATCTTCGCACATATTCATGAGCAGAAAGAATAAAGCAGTACTTATTTATTGCAAATCAGACAATATTACGTGACTTTCAATTTATTTTGATCGTCTGCAAGCACAAGGAGTTAATTATCCAGTGTTACTGCGTAGTTCTTGCCGTCTCTCTTGGTTTTCCACATGTCCTTCGTTCGTTTGGCACGTAATCTCCCATGCTGGAAAGCGCCGACGCCGTGTTCGCGCTAACAGTGTCCGACAGTGCACATAAATACATGTACCAAACAGTTTTAGCACCGTTTTTCATGCCAGGATTTTAAAGTAAAAACGCCTTAAGTGACCAATTATTTCATCTGCGTGACTGGGAAATGTTTTAATGTGCCTAGTAGGTACGAAGTGTTTGTGATATTTGCTTTTATAATCGAGCGCAGAGAGGAAATGCACTCGCTTTTTTCCATAGAAATACATTACCGGAAGTCAGTTTCAGACTGCTTGCTGTCTGCTTCAATTTGCAACAGCACACTAGCGCCAGTTGAGCCTCTAGCGTACATTATAATAACTCTATCGTTAGAACTTTTCATGTCAACTAAGCACCAGGGGCCTTACTCTTTAGTTTCGCCACTTGGCGAAAAATTCGGCCAGAGATCCGGCGCCTATGATTGGCCAGGGCCGAGGTCAAGTGCCGCGTTGGGCAATCACGGTTGCCTGATTTTTTGCCGACTTTTTCGCCAAGTGCCCAGATTAGGACCCCAGGTGCGGACTTCGCAAAGTGCCTATGCTATCTAAAGAAAATGTTTTATTTTTCAACCGATATTTGCCCCTGCGGACCGGTTGTGGACTTTAGTCCTGAAAATACAAAACTGATTTTAAATTTTCATCTTGTAACTGGTTGTGAAAGCGAACACGTTTCACCGCTCAAAATTTAACAGCTAAAAGGTCGAGTCGTAGTGTGTATATGAAAAACACCCGAGCTTGGTTCCATTTTATACAGGGTTTTTTTTTTTTCTTAAACTTTACAGATAAAAAAAAGAAAAGATGTGAAAGTTATCCTTATACGGTTGTTGCTGGAGGATTATACGGCCAGGGAAACATAGTATACTTGAATAATTGTAACAATCAGCCTGATAATTAAGTAAAATGTGTTAATTCACTTTTTAATAATGAAGATAAACATGCGGTTTTAATTCGAAACTGGCTGAGCGTCATCGAAAACCACTAACTCAGTAATTTTCAGAAAGCCTTAGAACGCGTGGGAGGTGCAGTAGTCTGCTAAATTTAGCACTCGTGCAACAGGGGCAAGGCTATCGGTGCGATAAGGCGCCCTCGCGCAATTTTCCGTCCTGTTATAGCCCCAGCCTTGTATCTGCTGCACGAGCGGTAAGTTTAGTGCACTACTAAGTTTCTCACGCGCACAGTCTTTCTAAGTATGACTGATTTAGTGGTTATAGACGGCGCTCAGCAAGTTTCGACTTGAAGGTTTGTCCATTTTCACTAATTAAAAAAATTATTAAGTACTTTTACTTAATAAGAAGAGTGATCGTTATGATTAGCCTCATATACTATGTCCACCTGATCGTATAAATGACCTGCACAAACCACAGAAGTGGAGATTTCACGGCTTTTTTTTTAAACGCATCGTAAAGCATAGAAAAAAAAAACGCGCTGTATTTTAACCACGGGAGGAAAAATATGCAATAAAATTGCCATGGCAAATTTTTCATCAAGGAAGTTCGATTGACTAAAGATAACGAATTTTTTTTTTTTTATAATTTACTGCTAGTTATTTTGGTTACCACTATTTTTTCCGCTTGGACAGATGTGGTTTTCCGCGGTGATTGTTCTCATATTTTACATCTCGAAATCACTGAGAAAAAAAGGCATTGAATGCCAGTGGCGACGTCTTATTTTTGAAGTATTTTTATTTATTTCATGGTTAATGCCGATGAAGGTTTAGTATGAAAACTACACAAGAAAACTTTGCGAACAATGTTTCCAAATCAGCTACAAAGTGCCAAAGTTTTACTTAGCTTTTACGCTGGTAATGTGAACTAGCAAATGAAAAACAAAAATTCCTTCCTGCGATTTGTTTACTTCTTGCGCGGATAAATAGCTTTCGGTAATCACAGGATAGCGTTATAGTAGTTTCTAAATTTGAAAGTCATGAATAGACTGTGCTGAGATAAACAAAAGTGCTCAAACGTATTATGGTTAAGATCTCCCATTACTCTAATTAGTTATTCCAAATGCTACGAAAACTTCAAATTGTTACGTTTTAATGTGACAGTTCAAATTCGTTTGTTTTCTCTCCTGTAGTAACAGTCGGAAGTGTGTGAATCAGCCTCACAATAAGCCCCGTCAAAGGGTAGAAGACCGGCAAGCATAGACTAAAATCGCAGCATCGATGTGCGCTTTTTACGTTTCTTTGAGATAGAGGTTTGAAACACATCCCGAAAACGCTGCGACTTTCCGAGAAGCGAAAATATGCAAGCCAGCAGACTAGGAAACGTCGTTATCTAAAGACTTAAACAACAATCACAATAACAGAAAACAGGCCTTGTTCATGATATCATTTGTCCGTGTCTTAGTTTGGATAAGGGTGACTATCGGTTTTTGGCGCCGTTTGATCGGCCTCGTATAGACTCCTAGCGTCGGCTGCACTCTAGTGTTTGCATGAAACGAAGCATAGTACAGTAACTGACGTTGGTGCTTCCCAAACTGTGCTAACCTGAGACCAACCAGACATAAAATATTGCGTCAGCCTTCTCCCGGTAGTCAGCACTGGAGATTTTGGGAGTCGCGCGGCTCGCCTGGACTTCTTTGTGTCGTCCACGACTGTACGTTGGATGTAAACACTCAACGAGGTAAAAATGCGCATGTGGCACATACTGTACATGTTTCGATGTCGAATACTGTCTGTTCAATACGCGGCTTGCACTTGGCATCATCGCACCATGCTGGTAGATTCCCGCTCGTTGCTTAAAAAAATCGGCGGTGAGAATCCTGTGCTGAAGAAGACACGTACTGAGTGCACGAGGCCACCACAACGACCGCTGCTGATATGACGTCCCGAGACTGCACAATTTTCTAATGCAGCATGTTATGGTGCAGCGCAAAATGCAGTTAGCTCCACCGTAACTTTCTTCGGTCATAGCGTGTTCTTTCTCAGTCCGAGTGAGGAAAAGCAAACGCCATGCGCATTCTATTTGGGTAGGAACCTTCGTTTTCGAGTAAAACACGATATTTTCCCATACTCCAACTTTTGACGTCACGGCACTGTGGTGACGCTGCGTTCGGCACTGCGCATGCTCACACGCTTCACAGGGGTTTCCGCGCACGCGCAGTGCGCACGCCTAGTGTTGGCAAACGCCGACTTGTTTGTAAACAGCGTATTTGTATGTATTTACATCCAAAACACGTTTTTGAGAAAATCGGGTAAATCCAATATTAACCGAAATTCGGATAAAGAATTGCACTATTTTCACGTTCTTTCTTTTGGCGTCATAAAATTTTGAAGGTCATTGACGAAACTTGTTAAAAGCGCGCATGACACAAGAAATTCACACACAAAAAAGTACGAAGGATGCTTTGTGGATTTTTTCCCCACTCTTTTAAGGCAATTGTGATAAGAGCGCTACCCCAGCCAATTGCATGCCTCGCTGACGTTTCCGTGCGTTGCAGACGGAAGCTTTGATGTTGAGAAGTCATTATCTCAGTTATGATATGTCCGAAGACTAGACATACGTTCTATCGGGACAGAAATACTGCGCATGTAGATGATTATGCAAACATTTGTTGAAAATTGAAATGACCGAGTGAGCTCCTAAACAACGTTTTAATTCGATTAACCGAACATTATTGATTTGCTGGTGTAAATAAAACATTCCATGTCCTGAAAGCAATGTCTTTTTATTGCCAATCATAGATCTTAACTCTTATATATAACCCCGCCTCCACCCCTCCTTCCCCCCCCCCCCCCCCCCACCCCTTTCCCCCCCCACAAAAAAATATGAATAAAAAAAAAATTGCACTTTGTATTAGTTTTTGGAAAACCCGACTTCTCCCCTTTCGAGTTTCAAAAATACCGCCCGATTTTTAAAATATGTAAAACCAAAAAACGAAGGGCCCTACATTGTATATATATAGTAAACTAACATGTAATTTGGCTAGTTGGTGAACCTTACAAGGCATGGTGTAAGGCGCAAAAAACAACGAACACATATAATAGGTATGCCATCGTCTTTGAATTACAAGATTCACGTCCGCTCACGCACCAAGAATTTGGCAGGGTTGCTAAAGTTGCACTCAATGTGTATCTTGGAGTTTTTCGCTCTCAACCATAAAGAGAGAAATAAAAGTAGTCATAAGGCTGGCAAAATATCTTGCGGGATTCTTCTTTCTGATCTGTTCGTTATTTATCTCGCAGGTACTGCACCAAGGTCACGAGGGACAACATCGCCTATGAAGAGATGTCCAAGGCCGATGAATCGGTGGTCTCCGTCGGTTCTACTGCGGTCAATTCGTAGAGCTTGGAATAGCAGTCTGTCAGCAGCGCCAAATCGGGAGTGCAACAACGTCGTCCCCTCGGTTTACCCAACCTCAAGCACGCGTTCGCACACTTTGACAGGACTGCGGCTGCGTTATCAGCTGTAGCACCACAGAAGGCCGAATGTTTAGAAGCTTAGAGGTTGCGCAACCCCAAAGGATCCATTAACATTTTTGCTAGGTCAGGTCCCATTGATTGCGGCAGAGACATCCTTTTCACTAGAACAGGGCCCATTTATTATTACTTAATTATCCGCTTAAAAGAAGCCACATTCTGGCTCTAAGGGCCGTTCATATTTTCAGCTCTTGCTCCATTACATTTACAAAACTAAACTCCGCAATCCATATGGTGATGTGTCTAATCGGTTGTAAGCCTGTTTGTTTTGACGGTGGGCCGTATTAACTGCCGTCTTTTTTCACGTGCCGCTAGAACATTACTGAAGACCGAAAACCCATGTTAGAGGCAGGATAACTAAAAAAACAAAACGCCATACCTGTTGTGCCACTGACTATAATGTGCTCCGCGAATTTGTAGGATTCGATCTCTTCTGCTTGAAGCGTAAGTGACGCAAGCAAGATTAAAGCAACATATTCGGAACTGATCTAGGGCCATACAAAGACAAGGCACCGCCAATCTGCTTGCAGAGTGACTACACTCTATTTGAGAGTCAGAATGTTAGTCAGGCTTTATTGTTAGCTATTTAGACGAGCGTCTAGCGTCTAGATACCTCATCTCGGTATTTACGCCTGAGAATACAAAATCATTCGTGCGTTGATGTGCACGAACGTCCCCTGAGGTCTAGGGGATGAGGTTAGATGAACGCTAGGTCGATGCTTAGCTTGCATGAAACGATTTCTGCAAAGAAGTGCGACACTTCACCTGGCGACATGCCTTCAACAGTGGACTATATTGGTGCAATTACCGGTCATTCATTCTGAATCGTACAAAACATTTATGAACTCTCGACTTTTTGCGTGTGTCCTTTTCCTTTTTCCGAAATGTAAATAGTGTGTTGTAGTGTTTTTTTTAGCCACCAAGGCGTGGTGCCCCTTCTGTATTTACTATACTATGACTTACTTTTCGTGTCTTTACTGTATTCTTCAGCTGTGCATGGTTGGCCTCAGATTTTAGTAGCTTTTCATAACCATTGAAAGTTGTCATTGCTGCCTTTCATAGTGTGTCATATCCTATGTTGAGCTGGAGAACATCGAAAGTGGCGATTTTCATTTTTTGTCCCTAAAGTTTTTTTCTTTTTGAGGCTTACAAAGGATAAAGGCCAGCAAAGAAATAACTTATAAAGTCCTTCTTTTGGTGTTTGGTTTTGCTGGTCACAATCTGTTTTGCCAGAAGATCCTATTTTTTTGTTAGCTTCAGCGCTGGTATCTATGGGTTATCATGCGCTTGACAGCGAGCAATTGCCACAATCGCGGAGCAATATTGGCGTTGGCTACCTCTTGAAACTGAGTATTTTCTATTTTAACAACGTGAAACGGTCCCATACACGTGGACAGCTTCGTTGCTTGCACCATCGTGGCAGGCTCGCAGCGCACTAATGTTGCTCTGAAGGTACCCGGAACGCCTCAAAAGTTCAAAGACAGCCGGAATAGAAGAATCGCTATGTTTTGCAGTCATTCATCGAATCTCCCTCGTTTGAATATAGCATCGAAATAACACACTGAAGACTCGCTGTGCTGGCATCTGAAACATTTGACTTCTTCTGGTGTTTGTACCGCGGATTTTCTCTCCCTCTCAGTGTAGAATATTGCGTGCTGGAAGCGAGTTTTTATGTAATGGGCGGCGAGGAGGACTCGATCCGTTGGCAGTATTCAGTGTACATTAGTGCTTATTCAAATTTAGATTTCGCGTGTGTCTATACACACGCGACTATACTCCCTTTCTGTGTAACTTGGTAGAGAGCGAATGCCACGGCCTCCTGGAGCCAATCAGAACAACAGCTTTCTACATGACAAGTGCGCTCCGATGCTACCTTAGGTCTGGTTCCCGCTCCGATACTCCGATTGACCCGCTAGGGCCCTAGCATTCGCTATTTGTCAAGTTGCGGTGAAACGGAGTAGAGTTAGGTTGTACTTGTATCTAAAATAAGAAACCACAACGACCCATGTTTTTCCGGACGAAGCGTTTGCTCGTTTTGTTACGTTATTGAAGCTGCATTCGCAGCAACTTTAATTTTTTTGACAGCTAGAGTTACAGCGCTGTGCAATTTGGTTATGCGCAAGGAAACGAAAAAGGTGCGTGTCCTTGGTGAAAGTATGCCAAAGAGCAATCAAAAAGTGCGGTTGGGGGACGCCCTTTTTCATATTTAGTTTGCGCTTAGTTTTTATTTTCACCTTCCAAGTTTCGATTGGACGGCGAGTCACATAACTTCTTGTGCCTGTAGCGATAATCCGGGAGAAATAAATTTGGTTTAACACATGTTGCCCTTTTTTTCGGTCATTTTTGTTTTCCTCCTAGTTGTTGACGGAAATCGGTGACGTCACACAGGCACTGTATTGACACGTAACGGTGTTTTGCGGCAGTGAGGGAATGGCTACGGGACAGTTTCAAGAAAAGCTGTTTCACTGCTCATAGGCATGCACTGTGTGCAGCAAATGCATCGATGTGAAAGGCTCTCAATAGAGCCTTTCACATTGGTAGCTCTTATGTGCTCTTCCTGCCACTGGAAAGTACGTCCCTTGTGTTGTTGTTGACGTAGAAAAGGGGGGGGGGGGGGCGTACGGCGTCCCTCGTCAATGTTGCAGAATCCTTGAAAGAAAGAACGCTGCCTCCAGTTGAATTCGATCTTACGTCCGCTGCTGTGACGCTGTCGTCGGACCGCTAAGCTGCGCCACAGATTTGACTAGGCTGCCTGAATGTCCTTCTGTTTAAGGTGATGGCATTTTTTGTAGTACCCGATGCCGACTGTACGCGCTTTCTGGAAGATACAAAGAAATATCCGATAACAAAATGCCGCCGCAGCAGTCAATGCCAAGAGCTCTCTGCCGGGGGATGCGCTTTCACGCGATCCGGAAAGAAAACACAAAAGGGTTCGCGACAAAATGGTAAAACGTTTATTTTGTACCGAACGCTTTCGTTCGCGCACGGTGCGTGAACGCAGACGCCTATGCCAACGTTGCTAGATTACCTCATTTGTGGAACTCCCGTGGTACCCCCCTCACTCACTTCAGTCCGCCTTCCGTCGTTCGAAGCGCCATCTAGATTTCCCTTTAGGAACTGTGTGTTCCGTAGAGTACGGTGGAACGCCATCTAGACGGGCTGCGCTTCGAAATGTACGTATACCATAGAACACACTGTAGCTACCAAAGCTGCCGTCCGGTGCGTCGAACGACGAGAGGCGAGTCGTGGAGAGTGAGGGGGTACTGCTCGGGCGCATGCAGCGTCCATTAGCATTTCCATAAGTGAGCTAATCTAATAACGTTGGCCTACGCCCAATCACCTCGCCGTGACGTGTCGCAGCTATTGCTGTGACTGTATCGTGGATTAAGACGGGACTGCTTATTTTTAAAGTCCCTATCGAGCAAAGCTGGCTGTTGGCATTTTTGGGAACGAAGTGTGCGACTGCATTAGGGTCGTCTCCGAATGCTCACGGAGCCTTCTTGTCCAATACTCATCCTCAGTTGGTCTCATCCTCATCCTCAGTTGGCCTCTTCGCAGACGATTGTGTCATTTATTATGAAGTAACTAACGACTTCGACGTTCGCGCACTCCAGTCTGACCTTGACAGTATTTCTCGTTGGTGTGATAAATGGCAAATGGGACTCAACGAGTGCAAATCCATGAGAGTATCACGTCAAAATAACACCTGTCCCTTGTACCATACAAGAATTGTTGAGCTGGAATCCGTTGCCTCAAATAAATATCTTGGTGTTCATATCACTAGCAACCTCTCATTGAACAATCATATTGAATACATAATTAAAAACGCTGACCGCAAGTTGGGCTTTCTAAAAAGGAGCTTCTCTCTTGCCCCACTGTCCTTAAAACTAATTCTTTACAAATCATTGGTCCGCAGTAAACTTGAGTATTCTTCCGCTATCTAGAACCCTGGTGTAACGCTTGCAGTATCATTAGAAGGTGCTCAAAACCGTTCTGTTTGATTCATACTACATAACTATCATCGCACATTTAGCGTAACGGCAATAAAAACTACCCTAAGCTTGCCTGACTTCTCCCAACGAAGAAAAATATCTCGTTTATCTTTATTTCATAAAATTTACCACCATAATAAAAATCTTCGTCAGCATCTGTTAACACAATTATACGTCTCATCACGTTTGGACCATCAAAATAAAGTTGGCATCCCTCAGTGTCGCACCTCAAGCTTTCATCAGTCTTTCGTACCCATGAAATTACTGGACTGGAATCGCCTTCTCGCACCTGTTGCCAGCATAGCCGAGAGTGCCGGATTCATAGCTGCACTTCGCGAATATTTTTTGGATTTTGGTTGACAGTGCTTTGTTCTAACAATGTTCTGTTTTTGGTTTCTTATGCTTACCTGCCCAATTACTGCTTGTCTGTGCGTGCAATTAGATGTGTGTGTCCACTCCCCTCTATAATGCCTTCGGTCCCTGAGGAAATAAATAAATAAATAAATAAATGCATGTGTAGAGTGCGTGCCCAGACAATGGCGGATTTGGACAGTTGGCGCAGCAGCTACTTGGTGGCGCGCAGGTTGGTTAAGGGTCCATTTCGAGTGTGGTGCATAATGCCACCCGACAGACATTGAAGGGCTCCTGTCATGGTGAAATATGCCGATTGCAACAATGCAGATTAGGTACTTAGCGCACAAAGTGGAGAGAAGAAGAGGACAGAAAAGAGCGCCACTCACAACTATGTTTACTAACAAAAAAATATATAAATAAAAAGATCCGCCGCGGATTCGTGCATCTACAACACCGTGATCTACCACCAGCTGCCCCGTGAGTATGACTTTGTTATTCCCCAAGAGGTTGGCCTCGCCGAATAATGGTCTGCACTTGCACTCCCAACAATGGATTGGAAGATTTCCGCCCACAGTAGGGGGGCCCGGGTAACCAAGCAGCGCCGTGGGAGAACTTAGAGACATTAGGCAGTGACCACTGCATTCTAGTGACCACCTAAACATTTGCCAGGGCCCGCAGCACGCCGAACTGGGAGTTCCGCACCAAGATCACAAAATGGATTCGAGTTTGAGAAGAACTAGAATCGACCCCGAAGGCCCCTGCCACACTCTCCGCCTGGACAAAGGCAGTACAAAACGCTTACAACAAGCACACACAAACGATAGCCCGCGACATGAACCATGCATACGTGGACTCCCATTTAGTCAACCTCTGAGACAAACGTCACAGGATAGTTCACAAATGTCGGAAAAAACAAGACCAATCGACGTCTCAAACGAGTCATACCCGAAATAGCGCAAGACTATGCTTACTCACTTGCCACGGAGAACTGGCTACAAATATGCGACCAACTGAACGGTCAGCTCCACACGCCGCGAGTATGGCAAATCCTGTGTACGCTACTAGGCCAATCCAAACCGAGACACACTAGGACGAAATTACAAATGCACCAACAAGACATAGAGCGATCTCGCCAACGACATTCAGCAACCATTCCACCCAGAAAAAAACCAGTCCTCCCACTTCCCTCTTACCCCCCCCCCCCCCCCCCCCCCCGAAACACTTGAGGACCAATCCAGAGAGATCAACACCCCCTTTACCATGAACGAACTAGTATCGGCTCTTCATAACCTAAAAAGGAACATCACCCCCGGCATGCACAAGATCACTTACGCGATGCTCCAAAACCTTCCGGAGACTTACTCGGACTTACTCCTTCAATATATTAACGAGGCATAAGACACAAAAATTCTTCCACAATAATAAAAGGAGGTGCTCGTGATTTTCATACCCAAACCAGGAAAAACACCTGATAACATTACTAATCTCCGATGGCCCTACATCGACTAGAACGGCATCTGGACAACACCAACGCACTGCTCTATACACTATGACTGGCTTCCGCAACCACGCGTGCCCTCAGGACACCATGATGCGCATACAGGAAGATATCTATAAATACCCCAGCACATCGCAACTACGTATATGCACGATTGCAGGGATCGACTAGCATTTCACAACATCACACACCGCGCCATTCTGGATGACCTCATCGACTCGAGGCCTGGGCCAAAAATGTACGATTACATCGCAGCCTTCCTGACGAACCGAACAATACAGATACAAGTAGATGACTATACTTCTACAAAAAGCACACTCACCGCTGCTGTGCCTCACGGAGCCATCCTCTCTCCCATTATTTTTAATTTTGCCCTAAAAGATCTCCCGGAGGCTCTCACAACCGTTCCCGACCTACACCACAATCTCTACGCGGACGACATAACCATCTGAAGCAATACAGGCTCACCGGCGGAACAGGAACACACCATACAGCCAGGCCTCATTAGCATACACCAATACGTTCAGACTATAGGCCTCCTCTGCTCACCCGACAAGTCCGAATATGCCGTTGTTGCCAATGGCACAGGCAAGAAAGCCGAAGCATATAGAGACCTCATACACCTCCACATAGATGGCAAACGCATTCCACGAAAGCAAACTATTAAAGTTCTCGGCTTTTGTCTCCAACAGAATGAAAAAGCCAATGTGTGGATAGGACACATCACAGGCCAAATTAACCAGATACACAACATGCTCAGGCGCGTTACGAGATGCAGTCGAGGCATCAAGGAGCACGAGTTCCGCAAGACCATCGAGGAGCTCGTCTACACTCGAGTCATGTATCACCTTCCATATGTTACACTAACTCGAACCCAAACAAAGAAGCTAGAAACCGCACCCCGGAAATGCACGCGGCTGTCCTTAGGAGTCTCTTGATTTGCGGCTGTACATCTAATCACAGGTACTGGTCTAACTCACTAGATGATCGCATCACTATACACGAACATGCCCCACACCAGTGATTAATAACATCATAACAGGGGCGCCAGATCCTCGCCTATCAACAATATGACACATCCAGACTTCCGCCCCTCCCACCCCCTACCCCACCCTGGGACTCGCTTCCACGCATAACTGTTCTACCCATTCCACAGAACATGTGTCCTGACAACAACTTTTCAGACACACACGTGTACTGCACGGACGCGAGCCACACACCTACCAGGAGCAGAACGGCAGTGATCGGACCCCGATCATCTTCGTCCTGTAAACACGAAGGAGTCCCCTCCCTGACGGCCGTAGAAATACTCGCCATCGCCGAAGCCATCACAGAACATACTCACTCAACCGATACAATTCTTATCTGCACAGACAACCAGCGAGCATGCCGCTGCTTTCGAAACAATGGCCTACCTTCCCACATACACCCCATAATACAACGACACCTTCATGCACACCCGCACCTACACATCAATAT